GAAGACTGCCAATTTCCCTACAGTTTCAAAATGCACCCAGTAATGGTATCAGATATCCAAGGCGGATGGGGGATCAAAACTGAGATGGGAAGGAAGAGAGAAGGTGTAAGTGATGCAGCGAATTAGAGACGAGGGAGGTAAATTTAAGGAAAGCATAGTTGGATAATTGATGGACGAGAGAGAGATTAAACAACAAGAGGACAGAGGAAAAGAGCAGCTGTTGTTCTATCTGGAGGGTTTAGTGTAAAACAATGGAAGGCACTCTGTGTGGAAGTAAACAAAGGCCCCTAATTGACTTGCAAGCCTGGAGCTGATCACTATCCTCTCTGTGGTGCACACACCCCCATCCCTGCATCAGTGCACTTATGTAAGCACGTTGGCCCACAGCAAATACACATCTCAAGCTCCCATTACCATCCAGAGCTCTGAGTGATATATTTCTTTCCACAGAAAAACTTGTCAGGGTGAAGTTGCTTCTGCTTATCCAGGAGTTACAATGTGATCGGCTGTTTTGATAAAACTGCTGTTCTTCAAGATTTTCAGGTTAAAAAAAAAGAGATCACAATCGCACTCTCATTCAAAAAAGACTTTGCGGGTGCACGGAAAGAGGCTTTAGTTCTTTGAGTCTGAGGAACAAACACCGGAACCTTTCGGTTACTGATTATCAGTCTAGTAAAGTTGATGTTATTTATACAGCCCAATATCACAAATCACAAGATTGCCTCAGGGGATTTGTAATCTGTACACCACACCCTCTATCCCAAATTCGGATAAGGAAAATCATTCCCTATAAAAAAAAAAAAGAGATCCCTCTCACAGGATAGACGAACATGCAACACAAAGATTTCTTTGTAAGCTAAACAACACTGCTGCTTCACGCAAAACTAAAATGAAATCTTGGCAATGCACATTTATTTTAGGATTAGTCTAGAGTCACAGAAGTATTTGTTACTTCAATTTTTACTGCATTGTGGCTCTGACCCTTGGCACTCTCCACAGGTGGTTGTTAAACTGATGAACCTAACATTTTAACTTCATGCGGATTTCTTCTTTTAAAAATTATCTGGTCACAGAAAAATAAATATATTCAAAACAGTTTGCACAGTGTAAAAGTATATTCACAGTGGCATTTGCTTTAAAACAACTTAAAACATATCTGTAGTACTAACAGTAGCCAGTATAATTTAGAGCTTTTTTCCTTACATCGCATAACAGTTTTTTCCTCCTGGAATTCAAGGCTGGGGAAACACCCATAAAGCCATTGTTTACTGACCAGCAGCGATTGTGGCCGAGAAATGCACAAAGCATTTCCATGAAAACAAAGAAATGCTGTCAGATAATGAATAAACAGAGTAACACTTACCTCCACACAGTACCATGGGGTGTGAGTGTGTCCGTTTGGTTTATAATTGGTTTTATCAAATGTTATATTGTTTGTGTGTACGCTATGCAGAACCTATAATAGAGATATGCTTTTTTTTTTCCCTCACTGGTGCGTTTTATTGCTGTATTAAAACATCTTAAAAACACACACACACACACACACACACACACACACACACAGTGAGTACACTGAGTACCTTTCAGAGCCACAAATTGAACAGACCTGCAGTGAACCATACTGCTGTCTGCTCAGTGAACAGGACACGCCAATTTTACATTAGTTTGGGTTACTGCTGACCTTTACCGTGGTTCTCCCAGCTCTATTGTCTTTCAGTGGAAAAAGGAGGTCAAGATGGAAGTTTGTCAAGACGCATTTAGTAAACCCAATCTGGAGCCACAACTTTCTGGCAGGACAACTCTGACCTGGAGGCTGCAGCTGAGCAGCTGCTCAATTACACCACCACTAACTAGGAGGTTACATCTGGATGCCATTGGGGTATGCTATATAAAAGGTCGTGACACCAGCTGGCAAATCAGTTATAGGGATAAAAATTGATTAATATGTTTCCAGAGAAAGACAGTGTTTATAAAACAATAGTACTGCAAATTTTTTCTCGTAATGTCTTGTCCAAAATGTGTCTTCTCAGTCTGAAGCTGCAGTAAAGTGCTCTTAAGGACTTCAGAGACTGTACAGTAAATAAGCCCTTATCAGTTACGACACATTCTTGTTGGGAGGACAAGGACATCGGTGAGTGTGTTCAGGTGTGGCTTATCTGGGCCAAACACTGTTCTCCCTTTTCCAGGTTATAGTTCTACTTCACAAGAAATCTAAAATGCTACACACTGCTCCAGCAGCTACAGAAACATTTAAAATCAAAAGGCTACAGCGCTTAGCAGTTACAGTGATAACCTAATTATCTCTGTACTTGGTTTGTACTCGTCTCCCTCCGTTCCACATGTAATTCTTACTTTGATGCCAGGTCATCAGCTGCGAGTCCGCTGTGGCCATCAGAGTCACTCAGCGCGCCCTCATCATCTTCGTCCCCCACCATCCTGAAAGAGAGAAATGAACAGAGTAAAGATAAGATGAAAACGAGGCGAGGGAGGGAGGATTGGGAAGGAGAGGAAGTGCAGCTGCCAAAGAGACAGGTCGACAGAAGGGATGAAGGGTAGAGAGGAAGGAGAGCACAGAGGGAAAGGTCTGTGACAAGGGTGACCTTCCCTGCAGCACCCTGACATATTGGATTACTAACCTGCTGAGACATCCCTGTAACACCAACACACACTTATCTCTCCTACACTGGCACTGGTTAACGCTCTAAACTGGCTACGTGATAATTTTAGGGGCAGATAGAGGTACACTTTTTTACAAGCCTCTACTAAATGAATGTCTCCAGATAACTTCGAATTTAAATTTAGCATTTAAAATATTTTCAAAGAAAAAAAAACAGTGTTATCAACAGAAAAAGCTAAAGGAGAAAAAAAAAAAAAAACCTGTTGTAAGGTGTGCTTGGTTCATCAATCTTCATCAGACCATAGTCTTTGTCGGCTGGATGGTACGTGGCCAGGATGTTCATCTCATCCCATTTCTGGGATTTCTTCCTGTAAGAAGGATAAAAGAAAAAAACAATGAGACATAAATGAAATTCGGACCGCCGCGCACCAGCTACCCACCCACCATCGCATTCCACAGACTCCTCCGGGGAGAAGAGCGGGCAGATTTAATCGAGGACTGAACATGCCCCAGTTTTCACTCAGACTGCATATTTTGGGAACACGCAGACAAAGAAGCCCGGAAATGTCATCTGCACCAATTTGGTTTCTGACGTCTTTCAGGAAGAGACATGGTTATTTGCTTTTGTGTAATCCATCACGGATGCGAATAAGGCTGACTGAGCGCTACGGCTGATCAGCTGTGAGTGAATAAAGGTCAAATATCTGACAACAGTCTCATTTCATACAATTGCTTTTTCTAGAGTCGAAACACACACCTGTTCCTAATTCCCCAAATGGTTCCATTCCCTGGGGAATAAGTTGTCACCTCCACATGCTCTGTTTGGGGCTTTTTGTTCAAAATTACTCTAATCCTTGCTGCCCTTTCAAATCCTTAGGGGAAATGAACAGAAACAAAAACTACAACAGCACCTGGGAATAAAGTTCAGGGGAGAGGAAATGAAAACATTTCTTTTAACTCACAGGAAGAAAAAATATGCATCATGTCACTGTCTATTAAGATTTTGTTATATTGCATTTGACATCTTTTTGAGCTTTGATGTCATTTGGTCTTTGTAGCCCCACTCTCCATTTTTCTTCCTCTTTCATTTTACTGTAAACCTGTGTAGTTTTCATTGTCTCATTAGCATTCTCATGCTTTTTCATCATTTTAATTTCCTAACAAACTAAGCTGAAACCTAACACTATTTATCCAGGTGCTTCTGGGAGTTATCCGGCTTGGGTTAAACCACCAGTCTGCTCTCCCTGACCTTTTCTGCAAAGTCACTGTCCATCAGTCTTGACCTTAGTCATGGAACAAAGGGAGACAGGCAGGCAGGGGGTGTGGAACGCGAGAGAGATGCTAAATCTACTACCTGCTGCTACAAGCCTGCAGAGCAAATACACCATATCATTCTCTCTGTCCCAAAGCACTGAAGAGGGTCCTCCCAAGTTCCCAAGATAAGCAGCAAATTGGAGGACAAAATCAATTTTCATATTCTTCCTGTTGATAGTTAACGTGGCAAACCCCAATCCCTTGGCACTTCATTTAGTTCCACTGCAACTAATTTCTTGATTGTATAGGTGTTGTGGCCTGCCCTGCACCACTTTAACAATGACACACACACACACACACACACAAGTACGCACTCAGGGATTTGTCAATAAGTCAATCAACTAGGTTGTGGATGCTGGGCCACGTCGATTTCCCTGGATGCCGCACCGACTCTGTTTCTCAGGAGTTCACTTTGGTATTAGGCTTTACTTAACCAGCTTGCATGCATGCATCCTTAAGAGGTCAATAAGTTATTGAATTTATTAAGTACAGCTAGCACAAACCAATGCAGTGTAAATGTCCTGCAATGAATCCAACCTCCATGAAGGTTATAATGTTCTGTTGAAGCTGTTTCAGAGCGGTGTTGATTTTGAAGGCAGGAGTGTGTGGTGCTGTTGAACTGCACTGTGTTATACTGACTGGTGTTTCTATTACTTTGTCCACCCTATTTATATTTATGAATATTTGATAATGCTATCAAAAGTCCATTCGAATCGTTGACAGGTGAATTGTAATCTAATCATGTGGCTAGTGGAGATTCACACCTCGAAATATGACGAGCTGCTGGCCTACTTATGAGCAGCAAAGTGGCCTAATTGTTTGAGAAACCACTCTGTAAACAGACAAGCACATAGGCCAATGCTGCTCAGCCTGATCGGATCCTGATAAAGTATCCTTGACCAACATACTGAGCATGCAGACTCATGTTATAAAATTAGCTACCTTGTTGGTTGGGTTTGTGTTACTGGAACACGAGCAAATCTAGAGAGCGCAAAGAGTGCATACCCCTATACTACATATAGCAATCCTCTACAGTCCGGGTCCAGAACTGCATCAAAAACACGCAGTGATGGACAATCACTCTGATTTTTGAAGAAAATAATACTAAGAGTACATATAATTATACATGTATTTATATAACATTAATATTTTACTCTGACTACCCTGAGTTAACATCTGGGTGTGTGTGTGCATAACAATGTTAGCCGTTAGTAAGTCTGTAGTGTTTCTAGTGTGTGTAGTTACACAACACACACCAAAAGCAGCCAACCATGTTCTATTTCCACCAAACCTCTGTTTTTTTTTGTTCATTCATTACAAAAAAAATTTAATACAACGATGATGCACCTGCCTCTGCAAGAAAGAAAGAAAAAAAAACACCAACTACTAGCGCACACTAAATACAGAGCTGTATCTCTTACGTGATAATGATGACCTCTCCAAGGTGGTCAATAGCTGGCGACATAACGCTTCAGGAAAACTCATTAAATAGAGTGAGTCATCATTGAGAGCTGAGCTGTGCTATCAGGTAGCATAGTCAGAGGGTAGTGAGGTGGAAAGGTCCAGCCCTGTGCTCTCCACTACTGGCTAAAGCTACCAATAGCATGCCCTTGTTTGACAGTGCAGACAGTGGCTGGTGAAAATGCATAGAATACACTGCTTCCACGTACTGTCTCAAGCCAAAAGCAGCAGAGAAGGAAATTTGGACCGGCCATGAAGGGAGATGCTCATTAATTTTACTTGCGTCCTTTTTCCCCAGAAAAAAAAAACAAGCATCATCTAAATGAATGACAGGTCCTTAAAAAACAGTAGTAAATTACCTTTAGTTGAATGATGTGGATTTAATCAAATCTAAATTATTTCTTTTCCACTTCCTGCCAGTTATTGAATGTTTTTGGCAAAGAACCTTTGCCAAAGAAGCATTTTTTACACAGTCACCTCTAAGAATCTTTGTAGATTTCACAAGTTTCTTCTTGCTGTTGCCAACCTTTGGTTAAACTCATAGACGTTAGAGTTGATATCGTCATTGCCCAATAATTTCACAATGTTTCTCATTTCCTATTTGAGATTTTCTGCCATTTTCTGTAGTGGTTGACATACACTCAACACAATTGCAAATCCTTTGGCTCCTTCCTCAGGCATCAGTAAGCACAATCAAAGCTTACACAGAGTTTGATAGATAGCAAGCTAGATTTAGGACTAAAACAGTTACTTAAGCCATCTATCAGACTTTAGGTGGGGTAAAGGGCATCAGAGTGGAAGTAGCATAATGAGTGGGGACTGCACATTGAATACACTGGCCCTAACCCACATCAGTGGCCACAGTAAGGTCATAATGTGTAGAAATTTGAAGTAAGCAAGGGATTTTCACTGTTATACTAACAGGAAAAATTAGTGTTTTGTGACATGAAGCTGAATCTAAGTGAGGCAAGAGACCAAACTAACTTACTGCAGTTACAACAATCTGATGATTTCAAAGGTCAAGCGTTTCATTTTAACAACTTTACACCATTACACTAAATATATCACTCACCTCTATTACAAGAATATAGGAGATAATAAAGAGGGAGATAAAGTGTTTTTACTTCGTTTTTCTGCAGTATTCCTAAAGCAGTTACTGCTCTTAATCATGATAGACCAGGGGCCGTTTTACAGAAACTTCCTAATCAGCAGATCCTATCCTACTGCTTGGTAACTATGGTATTAAGGGTTAGGAATTGAGAAATTTCAGATATTTCCTATCAATAAGGAAACTGTATTAATTCTCTCTGCCAGCTCAACAGCTGACCTTAACTCACCTGTACACAGGAGGGTGAAATGCCTGAGTGGTATTTTTCCCTCCACGATATGGAAAGTCAGAGATTCCCTCCCTGCCAGTCAAACTGTCGATCACACAGTCGGGATGATCGGGCTCGCAAGACAGTGAAAGAGAGATTGAGTTTCATGGATGCAATGAATTATTTATGAGTGGGTGTGAGGCTCATACATCACTGTTAACTAAATAATAGTGAGTGATTGAAGGGATAACAAAAGTGACAATGCTAAAAGAAATGAAATGGAGCTGCAAGTTAATAAAATAGAACATGTGGGTTGCTGTATAATCCACACTTTCAATGTCATTTCAGAATCATTAGTCCTTATATTTTTTATCTCTATCTTTTGTAACAAAATGCACACAATTATTTGTATTTTCACTGGTTCATCTTCGTCTACTTTAGTTAAGTTGACTACCACAGATCGTGGTTGTCTCCACTAACTAATAGGCAATTAAAAATAATTCAAACAGGCTGTAACTAACAACCACTGAGTGTTACGTCATGGTTTCATGTTTGTCCTACAAATCTATGGAGGGAAGCTGGATTGTTTAAACATAGACAGAAAGTTGTCAAAAGAAATATAATGCCGGGTGGTTGGTGATTCAGGATATCGTCAGGGTACTGTAGAATGAGCTGGGAAGGCAATGCAATATGCTCCACACAATTGGAGCAGATAAGAAGGAAAACATGTTCACATGGGCTGTTGTCAAGCCCGATGTGAGCAATGCTGTCCTGAACAATGGTAGATATAAAGCTTAATAAAAAGACCATGCCTAAGTAGTCAATGTTCTATGCCAAAGGTTTAGCATACTAGAGGTGTATGACATTGTAAGGTCATCGTTTAGGTAGGTCAAAACAATAACACTGACATGGGGCCGACACTGGCAGCATGGTACAGCACCGTCAGCCCTTGTTTTTCCTCTGTGGATTTGGTGCTTGGCTGCACACAGGATTCTTCCAGAAAACTGTTTTTCCTCTACTTCCTCATCACTCCGAGAAAGACTATTTTGTATCAACACAGAAAAGGCTTGATTCACTGTTGGAAATGGATGGAATAATAACTGCCATCCTTCTATGGCCTAATTTCTCACTCTGCAGCTCAGAGAGGACTGTTACTAAAGGGCCCTCCACACCAAGAACCATAACAATAATGGTAACTATACCGATGTGAGCATCCACACTCATGAACAATAACGTTCTGTGGCCCCAACCATGCTCTGTGCACTCCAGCTGTGTTGGAAGCTTAGGAAAATGGATACTGATGCCCTGTTTCTGCTTTACGTTGTGCAGAGAAACAAAAAGAAAGCCAGAATGAGTTCTAGGGGATAGGGGAAAAAAATAGAATTGCTTTACACGTCAAAAATGCAAGGCATTTTCTAAATGTTAATTGGTAACATAATGTTGACGGAATGCAAAGGTGGAACTTGGAAGTGCAGCACCTAAGCGGACAGTATGTGGCGTGCACATAACATATACCGCCGCCACAACTAAGATTTCACACAATCATTAATATCATGTGCAACTAATGATTTTCACTCACACACTGTGCAAGCAACACTCAACGCTTGGCTAGCTTTCAATTCAATTCAATTCAAATTAGCTTTATTGGCAAGAATGTAATAACATTGCCAAAGCATCATATATACAACATAAGAACAATCAGCCCCATACATTTCATTAAACAAGTAATTAAAGCGTAATGTAATCAAAGCAGCTCCCTCTCTTCACTTTTCAAAGGACATCTACGTTACAGGTGGCAGAAAGTGACGGTGACAGCGAGCATAGCAGAGAAAAGATTAGTTGTCAGTCTGGCAGTAAATGTACAGTGTAGGTCACAGCGTGTCTGTTGATATAAAGCCTTTCTGTTTTTTCCCCAACTGCTGGAAATTGAAGGTGGTTAGTGCTAGCTAACCCCCCCCCCCCCCACACACTTGAGATCTAAATGATCAGAAACATCATCCTATAACCATGTAATTTTTCTAATGACTCCTAATTTGTATTAGATCTAATGCTTTTAAAAGGGGATTAAAATTCCACAGATGATACTGCCCAACCCAACTGTGGGCAGAATCGCCATCTAGCACCAAAGACTTAGCAGCATTTGGCAGGTGGGTGGTGTTAATTCACCCTGACTGTACATCAAACAGAATTCAATTCATGTAAAGCCTTAAATGCCCTCTTATGTTTGTGTATTTATTTTTTAGACTTAATCACATCAACATATTTTAAGCCATGTTTGTTGGCAACATGTTTTAAATAATGCTTTATTTTTTCAGCTTGTGTTTTAAAAACAGATTGGAAGATGTGCTTTTCAGTGAGATATTCTTGCTCAGGGGCACTTTCAAATGTTCAAACTCAGATGGGATTTGAACCAGCAATGCATTAAGCCTGAGAATACTTCCTGCACAGCCCTGGCTGCACTGTTTTTTGCTTTGTGTCTTTTTACCCAGTTTCTCACGGGCATGTTCGCAGATGACATACATAGCGACACACATAAATATCCAACAATGTGTTTTTCCACCCACAATTATATAATGCCACAGCTATAAAAAAATTATGCAAATAAATTTATTTTTGTGTTTTATCAAATTTTTTAAAAACCAATCATGACATGGAAAAAAAAGCCTCCCTCATATCTGCAAATCTCCTTTACATAGTCTGATGTATGATTAACTTTGAAACCCAGGGCAAGATATTCCCAACAGCAAAGAAAATAGGAATATTTTATAATAAAAAATTAAGGGCATGATTTTTCCTGAATATATAATTTACATAACTTGTTCCAATATAATGCCATCTTTGGTAAGATCTGACTATCCGGAGTTTCCAGGGGGCAAAGAGGAGACTGAAAAGTGGCTGTGGAAAAGCCGAGCACTGAAGTAACTTAACAGGAGCTGGTGATCTGGGCGTTATGTCTCACTGCCACAGTAAAAGTGTCAGTGTCAATAATATCAATGCATAGGAGAAGGCAAGGCTCCAGAGAGAGAAACCAAGTTCCAATTTTTGTCAGCCCGACCCCGAGGCAGAGCACCTATTAAACGAGCAGAACAGCTGATTTAGCAGTCCCAGACAAGTTTTCACAATCTGCAGCTAGCTCTGTAAACTCACTAAACTGAGACACTGTTGCCATACCCCAGTATATTTGCCCTGCAATGTTCTTGACCTCAGCGGGTGTCCCCATTGCCATCGAACAAGTTTGATATTTTTGTCAGGCATCCTCTACTGCGAGTGGATGAATGAGCCAATCAATCATCCTGGCCAACATCACGATGGAAGTTAAGCTGAGCAATGTGAGATGTCCTCTGACAGTCAATAGGGTCCCAAAGTACAGGGCACATGAGATGTGTGATGGGGATTTGAGAGCAGTTATAATGATAATTAATAATATTCAACAGCATTCTTATGAGATGGTTGTACAAGAACTAAAGCAGAGGTGAGTGTAAGATGATCAGATCTGAATAGTCTAGTCCACCACACTCTTTTGAAACAGACTGGGACCATAACATGGGCTACACCCAGGTCTGCTTGGTCAAAGGCTTTGAGCAAGACATATTATTTAACATGTTTAATTTTAAGCTTCATCAATAAGCTCAGTGTCAACACCCTGAAATTTTTTGAGCCTTTTAGTTATATTGGAAATGGCCTAGATCTTGATCACTCTCATGTAACTTATAGCAGACCATGCACTGCTTAATACCCTGTTCCTCTTACAAACAGTGCTGGGCAATAAAACAATAATGATAATTATCGCAATATAATTTTCCTCAATAACAATATAACAAGTTTTCAATAAATGTTTGATTCAATTAAATTTGAATCACGAAAGAATTAGCACTTATGTTTTCTATTAAAATATTTGTTTTGCTGAGGAAAAGGGACTGAAAATAGATTTCACTTATTTTATGCATAGTTTTTGAAAAAATATTATAATAACTGTTTTGAATGTTACCTGCCTCAGATTTGTGAAGTGATCCACTGTTTGGCAAGTGTTTGTCATATTCTGACCATCAAGAATAATTTAAAACCACAATTAACTTCACTAAGGAGCAAAAATCAGTCTTTCAACTTGGAAAAAAATAATGATGACATTTATCATGATAATTATTGATATTGAATGATGTAAAATTTGTTATCATGATAACATTTTTGGCCATATTGCCCAGCCCTATTTACAAATTATGCTATCTTTTTCATATGAAGAAAGCACATCTTCAGTGTTTGATGGGTGTGGTTTAAATTAGGGCTAAATGATTTTGAAAAAATATCTAATTGTGATTATTTTTACTGATATTGCAATTATGATTTGATTTGCAATAGGGAATGATACTTTTTACATACAGTAATTATTCTCATCTTCAGTGAAAAACGTATTTAAATAGTTATGGTGTGATTTGGATCTTTACCAAATATAGTCTGTAGAATATGATGTGTCGGCCAGCAAATCTCTGCAGCACGACAATATTTAATTTATTTTTGATACACATTTTGCCTTTAACAAATATTGCACCTCCTGCCTGCCATTTGAAAATTGCAGTAGGGCATATTGGGATTTCGATTAATTGTTCAGCCCTAAGTTAGTTTAAATCATTTCCTAACATAGTGCTGGATTTTTAAAGACTTACATAATGGCGTCAAACTATTGATACGGGCAGGTAATGTTTGGTAATATGAGGACATGTCAATAGGAGGTAAACAATAACCTTGCTTACTGTAAAGTTATGTACATTAGATTGAGCAAGACCTCTGTCTAAGTTGGTGTTAATGGTTTGCCCTAATATGGTCATAGTTCCTGTGGCTGTCACTGTTTAACAATAATTACCCACATTTTTTAATTACCACTAAGTTAAGTAAGTCGACGGTGAGAGTCTCTGACTAATAACAACGTTAACACTCGTTACCGACCGTCACAACCACATTACCTGTCGTGGTCTGACATTAACTGTTACTGGCTAGCGAACAAGCTAACCTGACAGACGGTGCTAAGAGATAAACGTTAGCTCTTGGTTAACTTACTCATTCCATTAATATTTTATCAGGGAGGAGAGAGCCTCTGGTTGTTGGATGAATGAACCAGAAAGTTTTCATACAGACAGCAAACGCTCCTGACTCACACTGACAGCCACAGAGATTTATACGTTACAGTAACGTTAGAGAGGCTAACAAGTGTTTCGCTAGCTAAGTTAGCTAACGTCACCTGACTACCAAGCTCACATCTAAATTAAGCAGAAAACTTACTGTTGGTCATCCTCCGAGAGTGCAGGGGCTTGTTCAGGACTCTCTGACCGGACGTCTTCGGGTAGCGATTTAACGTTTGCCCCGCTGTTCTTGTTTTTCAGGATGCCTTTTATCGGCCGGGGAGCTGCCATTCCTACACCCTGTCAGACCCGGCTGGCTCAAGTAGTTCTCTCCAATTGTTTTTTTATGATTCTGTGATTTCTGCTAATCAGTTACCAAATAACGTTACAGGTTCGGTTTTAAACATGCTCCCCGTCATAACTCTTCAATAAAGTAAGGAGAACCACAGGCAGGATCCTACGTGAACTAGTGGTTCAGCATGTCTACTCTCTGGTTGATCACTCACTGGCGGGGCAACAGCACTACTAGCGGGTCGGCTCACAACATCGCGAGATTCTGAAACGCGAATTCATACAGTTCTGTGACAATAACACATGCTGCCTTTTTGTGCTCGAATATTTCAGAACCACTGGACTTAAAGTAGTAAAGGCAACTTTGTCTTAATTATTACGAATGAAGGAATGAATGCATCAAATGTTTGTCAGCCCTTGTCCTGTTAGGAGAGAAATGCTGCACAGTTGTAATTAATTTCAAAATGTCCCACAATTTAAGTTTTCAGGTTATACAATAGTAGCATTGTTTTTGAGCCAAGTTTGATTTCAGTTTCAATTGATGTTAATTCACCTTGCATCATTGTCCACCGCTTTGCTCAAAGGCACTTCCATCAGGAAATTATTTTCAGGAAAAGAGCATCTGGGACAAAATCTTTTGAAAACGTTAATTAAAGTTGTATCCAAGCCAGCATTAAAAGTGTTTTGGCGCTACTATCTGAACGCATGCACTGCATCAGGTATTGAGTGACCTGGGAACTAATTCAGTAGTAATCAGCCAAATGTCAAATATTAAAATCAGCCTGTAAGTTAAGCAAAACGTGAATAAAAATTAAGAATTTATTTTTACTTTAAGATGGAAAGCAAGGCAAGTTTATTTGTATAGCACATTTCAACAACAAGGTAATTCAAAGTCCTTTACATAAAACATAAAAGCAATAGGGAAATATAAAAATTTTTTTACGGAGTTAAATAGAAAATAAAAGCAGGATCCTGAAAAGAATCACCCTTTTCTTCTACCTGCTGTAGCTGTCTCTTATTGAAACCCCCTACTGTGGATAATCCGAATTCATCCGAATTCATTCACCCATAATTCTAATGGTTTTGTAGTCTTCACCATAATTCTTTTGCATACATTGCATGATAGGATGAGGAAGAATCAGGTCTCTCACCTTTGCTTATTTTACTCCTCCATTCCCCATCTCCATTGCATCTTCTCCCCGTGTCTGCGTGGGTTCACTCCGGCTGCTCCGGACCGGCTTCCACCCACCGTCCAAGACATGCCGACTAGTTTGATTGGTGACCCTAAACTGTCCTTAGGTGTGAGTGTGACTGGTTGTTTGTGTGGCCCTGCGATGGACTGGCGATCTGTCCAGGGTGTACCCCGCTTTCCCCTGATGTCAGCTGGGATTAGCTCCAGCCCCCCGCGACCCTGTACGCAGGATAAGCGGTTGACGATGGATGGATTCCCCATCTCCCTTTCTATCCTCTTCTTTTTTTTTTGCTTGTACAAGTCTTTTACTTAGGGACTCCAATCCTTATTCCTTAGATACAGTCGTCTCTGTAAATCCAGATTGTCCACGCTACAAACTCTGGTAAAAGCGGTTAACAGCGGGACCCTGTCAACAAGTTAACAGCAGAGAAAACAGGAACTCTAACCTTTGTAATACTAATCGGCCCTGTTAACTGAGGATCAGTCGTGTGAGACTATACGATCAAAAGAGCACTTTAAGCTTTTTAAATAGTCTTCACTGACAAAAACAAAGAAAAAGAAAAACAGAACCAGAAAAGCAGAAAAATTGGTGAAGGACTTGTGATTCAGTGATAGAGGGCTATACTCTATGAAAGATTGGTAATCTAGGCACACACATAAAACATGTGTAGACAGATTTGTAGATGTAGATGATTTTTTGTGATAATCACAGATAACAGTTTGAGTACAGTCAGGTGTGCACAGGGTTACATCCTTTTGTCAAACCACTGTCCAATCAAATATCAACAGACATCTTTCATCTACTCCCCAAATAATAACTGCTGTTTTTATTACAGTTGTTGTTATTGTTTATTTGGTCGAATATTGTTATTTCTTCTATGATCAGCTTAATGTTAGTCGTAATGTATTGTTTTTCAACTCATGGTTTAAAAATTGTGTTTTACTTGTGCTATACAGGACTCCCTTGTGAAAGAGACTGTGTTCCTGTTATATAAAGGTTTATAAACCAAGCTAGCCACTAATAGAAAGCTGCCTGAGGCTAATGCGTTGCTGATACAACTTTCTAGCTTTGAATTACTGTTTGGCTAACTGTTCTGTATTTTACTCTTTTTTTTTTTTACCCTTGTGGGCTTTATGTGTATGTTTACTAGATTAATAATGCTACTGTATTTCCTGTGAGAATCGAATTTTGATCTTTCACTGGTGATACTTTATTTCTACCTGGCATAAAGCACAACATAACACATTTGACAGCTAGTTTATACTTTATATTTTTACAAAATATGTGGTAACTCTTGTTTATGGTAACTCATCATTTCTTCTAATCACTATTTGTTTTCCACTACTGCTTTACATTTTCAATCTTTATTGAAAATGTGAAGTAGGCTATGTTTGTTGTATGTTTGTGGTCTTAGCCTTGTATTTCAACCAATGGCAAGTCATTTTAACTAGGCTTGTCCTTACTTGGACTTTTGTCAAATACATTACATTCATGAATCATTTCATGTCCTGTCAGTAAGTTAAAAAAAATAAAAAGTAAATTTCTATAGTCATAATGTCTGTCTATCTCTCTTTCTGCGACGAGCAAATAAAAGGCAAAGATTTTGCTAAGCACATAAGACAGACAGGTTTAGATACACTCCTCAGTTGTCAATCTGAAGGATTCTTCGTTGTCCACAGTGTGTCAGGCAGTCGATGGGAGGTCCACAGGCAGTTGGGCTGATTGGTGAAAGATCAGGATGGGCATTCTGCCAAGGTGTGGACACGTTTCCTGATCAGGGTTCGTGCTATGCTCAGCTGCTTCAACCAAGGCTTCTCCGTGAACGTACTGTATAAGAGAAACATGTATTACACACAGTAAACATAAACTGTCAGGTGTACCATTTGATTAATAGTCCTTATCAATTATTAATCAATTATTTGTGAAACTCTGGTATATAACTACAGTGTGTAAATGAGACAATCAATCTGTTTTATGTCAGTATTTTAGTTCTCTGTTTTATCTTTATGTCAGTTAGTGCAGGTCTTCCTCCAAATGAACACTTCTGCCATCTCTCCACATGTTTCCTTTCTCTTACACATTACCTCAGAGCAACATCTTCCTGATTTGTATAGTACAAATCTCCTGTTGTGCCATCAAGTTATTTAGATATTCAGATTTCCCACCAAATCCAGCAATGTAGCACACAATGTAAAATGTAAAAGCCCCTACAGCACATTTAACTTAATTACTTTAGATTAGTTACTCTACATGTGCCGCTTACACAAAAGTACATCTGAAAACTGAATTAGCAACTGGTAACAAACTGAATTACATACAACAAAATTGATATGTGGCGTAAAATAATCTGACTTCAAGTAAAACATGTTTTGGATCCCTGATATACAATCTTTGCTGTGCCTCAAATAAGATGGCAATTATGAGACCCGTTAGGATGTGTTTTTATTGCACATGAAAATATACTTTACAAAGGATAAAGACCTGGCTATAGTCAAGCAGTATATGGCGTTTTCTCTTGGTGTGTCAGCACAGTGGTGAGAGAAGGACTCCAAAGACTCAGTCAGAATATGGGAAGATTTAGGTGATGCACCCACCAATACCGGCCTGGGAATGCTTTCTCTGCTGGTTATCGCGGGAGTATAAACTTGCCCCTGCATAAGCTTCTGTCTTCAATATTGATTTTATCCAATTGGCCGCTTTTCACATCTTGGTTCTGCTTTTTCTGTTTAGGGTTCACAGACTGCAGGCTGGGTATTTGGGGCAGTGCCCTTTTGGAAGTGAGGTGTGATGCTGAAAGTAAGTTGCTGATGGGAGGTAAAGGCTGCAAAGCTTTGGCCTTGATTCCTCTACTTGGTTTGATCAGAGCTTTCCTGGATTTGGAAGACATATTTTGATGGTTGAAGCCATCTACCAGCAACGTATCACCCACCCTGGCTTTGAGGGCAGTGCTGGTGTGCTGGCATTGATTGGAGATTGCCCTTTTCTGTCCCAATCTCACCCAGTGTTTAATCTGGAGGTAGAGACGCATGGGCAGCGACATGTTTGGTAGGGATACTAGTGAGCACAGCTTGTTGGCTAAGTAGCGCACACAATCCCTGTGACCACACTGAATAGCAACTTTCAAAGGGTCACGACCTCCAGGGTCCCGACAAGACAAAGTCAAAAGGTTCTTGGTGATAAATAATTTGAGGATGAGGAGCTGACTGCTCTCTGCAGCTATGTGGATGGGGCACTTTCGAGTGTCTCTGTGAGCGGTTTGGTTGCACCACTGGCGAAACGGATGGACTCCCACTGGTTCCTCAGCATGCATCCCCCTCTTCAGCAGCCAGGCTGCCAGATCCAGGTGGCCTAAAGAGGCAGCAATGCAGAGTGCTACCTGCAGCTGAAATCTAGAAAAGCAGGACAATAGATTGAAGTCAAAGACTGACTTTTGTGTGTGAGATTATCACTTTGGTTCACGTAGAGAATTTCTGACCTCATTACTGGCTTCTTCTCTGATAGGTGGCTCTGGACTGTCATTCTGTGGCCCAGGAGGCAACCCTGGAGGAACTCCACCCACCCATCCCATGTGTCCAAACGGAGAGTAGTGCCTTTGTTCAATAAAAAAAAAAATCTATGTATTTCAAAATAGATGAATTCTGTTTTAACGTCAAATTCGCCTCTGCATGGCTTTAAGACGGAGAGATTGTAATGAAATCTGAAACAGTGGACATGAAAGGGAATCTGTAGGTTAAAACTATTGATTTTGTTTATCATATGCTTTTAGGTTCATACCTTGTTGACACTGGCCACGCAGCAAATGAAACCTGTCAAGTAATGTGAGCATTACTATAGTTGTTGACAGCAAACAATATAGCCTTTTTTCACCTTACAAACCTAAAAACAATAATAGATGCCCATTTGACTTTAAATATGTTCCAACCATTCAAAAAGTCAGATTAAAGACACCAGCACTGAGAAAAACCCACTGAGTTACAGGGGAAAGTGAGACAGAGACACAGGTAGAAGAAACTCCATTTAGCACACATTGGAGACATTATAAAACAAAAAGCCCAGAAAAAATATGATATCTAACTGTAGTCAGTGAATGAATTAAAATGTCGCTCGACTATTTACACATTTTTAAATCATTAGGTATACACAGCACTCATTATGAGACTACACACATCAATCATATTGCAGCAGACAGAAAGCAGGCCATACCGAGTTCAATGGCATAGTCTTGCAGTTGGTTGCAGTCATAGAGTTGCACACCAGCAGGGGTGCTCAGTCTGAAGGTGCTGACAGGCAGGCAGCTTTGCATGGACACCACAGTTTTCAATCCAGCAACCGACATATGCAGAAGAGCCTCGCTTCCCGTGATTGGTAAGGTTTCTCCTGTCACAGCATTGAACACATGCATCACAGGCCTTCGTTCACTCTGAAAAAGAATTGTAATTGCACAGTGGCCTTGCAGTTAATAAGACAAAATAGTAACTGAAGTCACAAGATGAATCCCTGTGTTTGTTTTAAAAAGTATCACAGCCCACTGAATATATGTGAAAGGTACATGAGTCAGTTTCAGCCTTTGCTGTCAGGGCTCCTACACTCATGAACAATCTGCCAGAGGAGATCCAGCCCCCCGAGTCCATTCCTGTTTTTTCTCACTTTTTGAGACACATTTTTACAATAAAGGTTTTACTGTGTGATGCATATTTTTTTGTTTTATATATTGATTGTCATAAACCACCTGTGTGATGCCATTGTCTATCTTTTTCTTCAACTTTTGTATGTGTTTATATTGTAAAGCACTGTGTCAGGCCTATTTTTATTTTCACCTATTTTATCTTGACTTGTTTATCCATCCATCCATCGTCAACCGTTTATCCTATGGGCTGGAGGGGGCTGGAGTCAATCCCAGCTGACATCTGGCGAAAGGCAGACCCTGGACAGGTCACCAGTCCATCGGACAAACATAGACAAACAACCAGTCACACTCACACTACCAACCTAGTCCGCGGTGGGAGGAAGCCGGAGAACCCACGCAGACATGGGGAGAACATGCAAACTTCACACAGAAAGGCCGGGACAGGTTCGAACACACGACTTTCTTGCTGTGAGGCAACAGTGCTAACCACTGCACCGCCGCGCCGTTCTTAGTTAATTTAATTATATTTCATTTGTTTGTATAACTGTTGTGATTGGATGAAAGGCATTCCATGACCACCATGTACTGAGCATTACATCACAACTCAAATATTTGAATTACTAGTAAACACAAGAATTTGAAGTGACAGGAGTTGTAATTTTTAATCATCATTTTATACATATAATCTGTCTTTTTGTTTAATGTAAAAATAGCAAAGGTATTACACAAGCAAAGTGGAATTTGCTGCCACCCTGTGGTTGACAGAATGTACTGTAGTATGTAAATTAATTGCCACTTTGTAGGTTGTACAGTTTCAAGAACCAGGGTGACCCATTAAAGTGGCCAAAAATGTATCTTTAAAATAAACAAAAGATGTGAAATGTCAAAGCATACGGACCCAGACAAAGCATACAAAGGTCTGGAGCGGGAAACTGGACCAACACAATATAAGCCAATATAAAACAACTATTTTTATGAGAGGAGGTTAAATCCTTTAGTCAACTTTTACACAAGCTTGCCTGGTGATGAGCCTGGAATGTGTCCCAATACTAAAAACTGAGTAATGGGGACAAACTAAAGCTTTCAGACAGACATAAACTAATTTCCCTCCAAGCTGCTGCTCACATGGGAACATCTTGTTCCCTATTAGTGCATGAGCTTGAGACAAAATTCACTCACTGTAAGAAGGATGTCTTTGATCAGAAATAATCTCAAGTAATGAATATGTAAGCAAGATGAGAATTTTAGCAGCCCTGAAGTAAAAAAATTAAGAACAATGTGTTTTTGAAGTAAACTGTCAGTGAATGTATGTAGTGGGGAAACATGTGGGCACAACATAAGGAAATTAACTAAATACGCACAAATTCCAAGAGTGTGCAAGTTGTATAAGTGACCTCTGACAACCATGGAATTAATAATTGTCTATGGCAATAGAATCTCATAAAAATGAATTGAGTCCATAAGACGTCTGAGTTGACATTACACTTTCATAAAATATTTGAATTGATTTGAAAGTTGTGATAGAATTAGCGATAAAGTGTTCCAATGTTTCACTTACAGAAGTCTTCTGAATTAACATACAGTCTTTAATGTTGTTTTTTTTTTCACAAATAAAATACATTTTAATTCCAACACCACATTTTTAAAAACAGCTTCTGAAGTATAGGCCTAGAGCAAAGATGCAGCATCCTCTCTCAATATTTACTGCAAATCCCAACACAGCTCCTAATCTCTAAACCCTTTTGATGTTTTAATACCTTTATCAGGCATCGGATGGCACTGCCACTTGTGATGCCCACGTCGCACAGAGCCCAGCTGTCCTGCAGCGCTGCACCGCCGTAGCTCAGCTCCAGGTACTGCTGGACCTGCTTGTCATCGGAGAGTTGCACAAGAAAGTTATCCTACAGAGAGGGACAGAGTGGAAATGTACTGAATTGTGACCAAGAAACAAAGTTCTTGACAGACCATGTTCAGTGTCTGTAGCTTAATTTGCCTTCTCGTGTGAGCTGAATGAAAAATGTCTCATGTGGTGGAGAAATTTAGCTTTTTCTTGACATTTGTTGTCATTACATGCACACACAAATGCATATGTAAAACTATTTTTGCAATGCATAGTACTTCAACATTACAAGCAACATTGGACCAAAGATATGATAAACCCATTATTTTCCCTCCAGTAATATGACCAAATCATGCAGAACAAGTCAAGCCATGTCAAGAAAATATTGATGCAATGGGCCTCTTCTGTAGCTCATTATTACCTTTGCCATCTGCTTCATGGCCCCCACAGTCTGATCTGGAGGGACGTCAAAAGGCTCACAGGAGCCCTCGAAGCAGATGAAAACCCTCATGGTAAGGACGTCCACCCTCCGTCTGTTTGGTGGTTCCTCTGTGGTGCTTGGGTTGAACAGAGGAGGGTGTGTCAGAGGCAAAGTCATGGGGAAAGGAGTTGGCTGGGGAGGGTCAACAGAAGACAAAGCTTTTATATCCAGAACATAATATATCTAAAATGTCAGTTGTACAGAAGCTGATTAACCTTGAATTATGCTTTTGGCGTGGAAATTTTAAAGTTTATCCATTTGGGTTTCGAAAGGATTTCTTCAATACGTGGTAAATGTTTCTCATCAATGACTTTACAGAGACCGAACCCTTCCCCCCCTAAACAATAATAGTACAAACGTATACATGCCCATATATTGAGTACATTATAAAGCACAAAGAAGAAAGCTATCTCAGCATTTGTACACATGTTATTTTATATCTGAACTAACTTACTGAACATTAAGTGTAAACAGATTTATGTGCATCTCCAGTTGGAAATGTGGCACCAACCCTGACACATTCTTACGTCAGTTCTTCACTTTGCCTTTTAGTGGGAAACAAAAAGACTACCCACTTGAAATGTTCTTTGATAGTTTTACAGGGGAACTGCTAATTTGCATTTGACCTTTTAAAGCCCGAAGCTCTCCACTGTGTTTCTGTGTTCAGTCTTGGCTCGTAGCAAACAGTGACTCCATTTCTCAAGGTTCAAGATGTGCCAGTTGGAATGATTTCTTTTTTTGAGCACAAATTACAATAGATATAGAAATGGTAGATGAATGTTGTATAATCCATTAAGGGTAATAAAACAAAGGCAGACTCCCTTTAGGCTCCTGTGGCAGAGCACATTCTCTCCTTTTTATTCCTTTCAACTTTATTTAAGATTTTTTATTATGAAATATATTTTTATGTTGTTGATATTTTTGGTTTTATTTTATAGGTATTTATTTCTATTTTCTGTAACCAAAAATTGCTTGTTAGGAAAGAGCACTTTAATTTCCATTATTTATGGATGATTAAATTGAACCTTCTACAATATTAATATTTTTCACTTGTGCCCTTGGCAGTGAAAGATGTACTCAGAAGTGTTACCTAAGTAAAAGATGCAACACGGTTAACTATTCATTATAAAAGTGTTCCCTTTCACAATGTGGCATTTGATGTTATCAGAGTTTTAGTGTTTATGTGTACTGTAATCTTGTAATTTGTAATCTTGAGAGTTTGTAATCATCCATCCATCCATCCATCGTCAACCGCTTATCCTGCGTACAGGGTCACGGGGCAGTTTGTAATCAGATTTTAGTAATTTGCTGTATGTTATGGAAGTAACTATTAGAAGGCTATCTAGTAAATAAACTTTGTTACTTTCACCTATGGTCCTTGGCATCTATATAAAAAGGCTTGAACTCATAGACATGGTATCGATCTTCCCATCTATTTCTCGGCTGCAAGCAAACAAGCAAACTTCCAAAAATATTCGTCATCACCAATCAATCATCAAATAATCAAAAACTGCAGTACATAGAATTACAGTTCACTTCCAGATCATTTCTTCCAACATTCAAAGACTTACAAAAAAAAGAGATGACAAATCTAGAGTTTTGTGGCATTTCCTCTTGGCGCTGGAGCCAAACATCAGCAGTAGTTTAGTAAGCAAAGAGAGTTTAACAATAGGGACATCTGTACCTTAAAGATGTTTGATGAGTGATTTTATCAAAAGGATGTTGCAAGGTCTCCATCAGGTAAAATCTGATTTGAGAGTCAAATGTTGCCTTATTTCAGACCAATTAGGTTTTGGGAGCTGTAAAGGGATAGTTCAGCATTTTGGGAAAAACACTTCTTCACTTTATTACAGAGAGTTAGACAATAAGACACAAAGGATCCACTAAAAAGAAGATGCAGTCCATTTACTACAGAGGGTGCTAGAGATTTAAAAGTGTCAGCTGTTTTCAAGCCTTCTTTGGAAGAGGCAGGGTGACAACATTTGTGCTGATGAAAAGAGCATGTAATTTTTTTCCATTTAAAATATATAGTTTTTTTAATGTTCCATTCATCTGCCAGTTAATCTCAGAATGCGCTGATGCTGCTGAGATTAATCTGTAAATACAGGCTAGCTGCTCTGTTCCGGCAGATCATGCGACTGTAAAAGGCAGTAAATGGCCATCACGTGGATATGTTTACGTCTGGAGTCATTTCCGGTATGGAATGATTGACAGGTTGTTCGTCCAATCGGAAGATGAATGTAGAGTGGTGCATGTGGCGGAAGTTTGCGCTCTCACATGAAAGAAGGAGCTAGCGGAGGGGATTAAACTGTAACATCTTCTCGTACCCACCGTTCAAACGGTATGAAGTTCATCCAAAATTTTTGGTGTTGTTCATGTTCCCCGATACGACGCGTAGTAAAGGAGAGCGATGTCCACGCCAGCAGTTAAGTTCCCGGACAAGATAAACCTCCAGGCAGAAATAAAGGTAAACACCCACGACAAGCCAGCTAGCATCATGCTAACACGGGTACAAGACACTCTGTTTTTGTAGCTAGCTGCACACCTTTTACACCAGACCACACTTATTTATTGATGTGTATTACGACAGAGGACTGTAGCTATCTGACATTGCTTGACATTAACGCTGCTAGCTTTTTTTTGTAAAAACTGTTCCGGGTGTAAACCCTAACCCAACATTAGTCACTCGAATTTAGGGTTAAAAGTTAAACACAATTTTGTTGGTGGTTTTTGTTGATGTTCGGTTATTGTTGGCAACTCTGGCATGCGTATTTTGCCTCTAAGCACAATGGTTTGTACATTTAGCCATCTCACTGTTACCACAGTGTTTTCTTAAGAAAATTATATTGCAGTCATTTGATGTTTGGTCATCACCAGCTTACAGTAGTCAAAAGTGGTTGTTGCTTTCACTTCCCCTTTGGTTCTTTGTTATTAGAAAGACCCTTTGTCTCGGCCAGTACTGTGTAATGTCTCTAGCCGTCCTGCCACACTGTGTGTGTTATAATATAATATTTTTAAATTAGCTTTTTTCTATTGTTTTTCATCCTGAATTAACGTAACATTAACAACCACACTACAAGCTGTAATAATCTAAAACGCTCCAATGAAATGTTGTATTAAAATGACATTTAGTGTAACAAACGTTGGGTTGGGCGATATGATGATGTATATTCGAAGACTAATTCTTTGATATAACAGTTATACAATGCAGCTGTCACTGTTATATATCCTGTCACAAATCAGTAAGTAGGACTGTTTTATTGCAACATTGGATTCCCTTTTTTTTGCATCATATAATGAAGTGCTTTGATTTGTTGGGTTTTTAATTTTGCCAGAAAAAGGTTTCCCGTTGTGTTATTTTATGTGTAAACAGTTCCTCAATTATAGTTCCTGTACTATGCTATATCAATCTTGCAATAAAAATTACATCAACTGTAATAGAATATTTGATCCAGATCTTCCACATTTAATTTAGATTAGTTTGTGCTTTTGATGGTCCTTGAATTATCAAGAGTTAGATTTTCGTACCCTGTGAATTTTACTGCTTTTGTCCACACTGCCCACCTCAAGGTGTCATTTATATGGGTAAATAAATGAATATGCACTTTTAAAAATTGTACTTTGCTCTACCAAAATGTGTTTTTTTCCCCCCAGTACCTTTTCTGAAACCCTTTTAATGGTGTTGCTAATTAGGTGGTTGGTTATTAAAAAAATCTTGACTAAGAAAATCATTCTATGCTGTCACAGAAACATACTTTACTGGAGGAGCTCAGCATGTAAGACCATGTTTTGTGGGACATGGCAGCAGCAGTGTTAGTAGGACAGTAGGGATGGAAAGTTACATAACAAAGCCTCCCTAGTTTACACAGATGCGATTAGGGCTTAGAATTAAACCTCAGTACTTTTAAAGTGAGTTGTGCAGATAAAGCAGGTGTGATTTTATGAATAGATCTGGACTCGCTCATATTTAGCTCAAAGATTTATCAGTGGGCTTATCAGTTTTGGGCATTAGTTTTGTTACTTATTTATATATGTTTTTTTTTAAAAAATTTAACCATAAAAGTACTTTTATTTGAATATGACAATTAGTATTTGTTAAAGATGTTTACAAAAGCTTATTTAGTTTACAGCAACGGTGTGACAGTCAGGATCTTAGAGGTTACCCTTTAAGGATGCACCTGCTTTAAAAAAAGAATTAGTCTCAATAAGTTTGCCAAATTGAATACACTAATATAACCTGGACATGTGTGGCATTGCAATGAAGTGAAAAAGACAGGAAATCTTGGGGAATACTCTAATGAGCAAGTGCAGCCCCTTCCCACACACCCATGATGTATTGCTTTCATTAAAAAAACTTTTATTTTTGTTTTCAAAATGTACACAACAATCCAGCACCATGTAATCCTTAAGCACTATTTCCTTTGTAGCTGGATAACACAGCTTAGCGGTCTAAAGCCTGGAAAGAACTTTGCTGTTGGTTTTTCCTGACCTGATCACACGCTGCCCCTCACTTTGTGAGCTTGTAACCTTTATGTTGATGTACGCCTGGAGCAAGATAGTCCTGACACTAGGCACTAGCTTAATAAAAATTACTCACAGAAAAATTGTCACTTGTCAGTGATTTTCTGTTGTCTTCAATGGTTTCCAAAAGAATGAACACTGCTTTTGTACTGTTCTTCAATGAAATATGGGACAGCACTTCTCAGGTAGGCTTAATTTATCTAAATGAGAACAGTGGAAGTGAGAGTGGGGAGGGGTATCATTGACACTATCCTGACAAACTGTTGAGCGCATACTGTTGTCCAAACCATCAGCTCTGAATTTTCAGTAAATTCCACTTCCGCCAGCTATTTTGATTAGGGATTCACTGATCTGACTTTATTCAGTCCTGATACTGATAACAATACTGGGCTTTGGGTATTGGCCGATGCCGGTACTGATCTGATAGCAGTGTAAAATGAATAAGCTGTTCGCTCTATGTCCTGATGTTTCTGGACTAGCTTGATTATGTTGGTTGTGCAATATTTTGTACTGCTACCGCCACCCTCGACACATTGGCTTTGCAGATATTGCAAGTAGCTATAGAACTTAATGACGTAGCAAGTGTGAAGTACCTCCAAACTGCTGACACCTTGTTGTTAGCCCCCTCTAGCTTTCCTAGCAAGATGTTCAGATCTACCAGCGCACTGCTGCGCATCGCGTAGTATAAATAGAGTAGCCCCAGATGGCTTTTGATTGAGTTCTTTTTGTTTAGGAAAAAAATGT